ATCTTTAAATAATTATAATAATAACAATAATAACAAAAACATAATAATTATTCTCCTTTATTTCTATCTATTTTAGATATTTACATATATCATTAGTTATGAAGAGTACTATCTTATCCAAAATACGAAACGCGCCGGCGAAAACAATTAATTTTGCATTTATTTTGAACAATTTTTCTTTTTTATTCAACCACAATATATAAATACATATTTAAATTCAGTTTCGACTTACTCGACTGTGGAAAAGCAAAAGCTTAGAGTAGTATATTGATTTATATTATTTAAAGATATAGATTGATCTGTTTCAATTGATCAATTCTGTATAGATTAATAAACTTTGTTTTTGATTCAATTTTAATGAGATTAATCGAACAAGTATAGCAGAGTCATAGCCATCTGATGAGACCCTTTAGCAAGGTCGAAATCCGGATCATGGCTAGCTTGACACACCCACCCACACCCACACCCACACCCACACCCTTTTAGTGGGCAATGAATCATATTATCGAAATAATAATGAAATTAATTATGGTTCTAATTATAGAGGGAACCAGTATACAAACAGAAGAAATAATTATAATGTAAATTGGAATTATCGAAATAATAATAATTTATCAAATAGATATTATCCAAATAGGTATTATCCAAATGGATATTATCAAAATCGTAATTATCAAAATCGTAATTTTCAAAATCGAAATTTTCAATATATTTCAAATTTTAATCGTCCAAATTTGAATCGTCAAAATCGAAATATTATATATTATAATCGTAATAGATATAATAATAATAATAATAATAATAATAATAATAGTGGTAGTCCATTACAAGTTCAACAAAGAAGAAGGACAAGACAATTTAATCAAAATCGACCAAGAAGTCTCTCAAATCAACAACAACAACAACAACAAAGAAGACGTGGTCCACGACAATTAAGATTAAATGATTTTATGCCACAAGAATTACGTGATTTATCACAAGATAGAAGAAATCTTCCACAAGATTTTAATTTAAATCAAGCAGCACCACCTGATGCATTACCACAGCGTGCAATTTTTTCAAATAAAAATACAACACAACCATTTATAGTTAATTCAAATAGTGATTTAAATAATGATTTGAACAATGACTTGAATGAACAACAACTAATTCAACAACAACGTACAACTACTTCTCCATATAGACGTCGCCAACGTCGATATCGTCATCAAAAAGACAAAGAAGAAAAAAAAGAAAAATATCATAAAAATAAAAATAGATTTGATATTTTCACAGATGAAAATGATACCGATGGAAATGACAGTGATATTGATGATTTAGTTGAAACTGAAATAAATAATAATAATAAAAATAAAAATAAAAGAAATACAGATAATAATAAAAAGAATAAGAAAAAGAAGAAAAAAACTAGAATATATCTTGAACCAAATCGTATATTTAAATGGTTTGAAGATAATTCAAAACAATCTAAAAATGCTATAAGTGGTCGAGGAAATCAAGCATATGTATTAGCATCAGCTTCCATTTATGATGAATGGATAAGAAATAATTACGAATTACAAGTTTGGCAAGAATATTTAAAATTAGGTATAGAACAAAAAAATTGGGCAAAAGAAGTTATACAACGTACAAAAAAACGTGATAATATAATAAATACTAGATTTGTCAAAAAGAAAATAAAAAAATTAACCGATGAAACAGCTACTTTAAGTGCTACTATATCTGATTTACAAATACAATTAACAACATATTGGACACATACAACATCTGAAACAGTAACACAAAAGATAGCTCATACAACAGCAGAATTAGCAGCTAATCTAGTAACAGATAGAATACGTCAAACAACGACAACAAATGCTAGTGTTCCATCTACAGCTACAACAATGTCTGCAATTAAAAATCAAACTCGTGATCCAGTTGACCGTTTAGAAAAATATATTTTAGAATATCTTCATAAATGTACTCAACATGTGAAAAAATTAGCTGAAAATCGTATACAATTAGCTAAAGCACAAATAGGAGAATATAAAGCATTAGAAGATTTTCAACAAGTAGCGACACCAATACATTGGAATATTCATTTAATATTAAAACCAAAAATTAAAACATGGTCAACTAAAAACAAAAATCATCATATGATAACAAAACGTATTGAATTAGATTTACCACCAAAATTTATTTCAAAAATTGATTTTGATTTTAAAATAGATGAATCTATTATAAGTCAAGAAGAATCACAAGTTTTGTATAATCAAATGAGACAAATTACAAAAAATTACCGAGTAGAAACTATGACTTTATATGAACAAGCAGCTAGTCGTGAACATGAATTATTAACAAATGAAATAAAACAAATTGTTGATAGTTTTTCACAAACAAATAGTGACGATGAAATCAGTTTTGCTGCTTTTAAACAATATCATGATTTACGTGAAAAAAGATTAAATTTAGAAGCTCAAAAATCTATTTATTTTTTATCCGAACAGCGAGTCGAGGGCGAAATCGACAATCTACAACAACAACAAGAAGAAGTAGAAATAACAATTGCCCCGACTCCAGTTCGATCACTGGGCGAGGATTTCTTGCTCCAGCCATTATAAATCAAGCTAATATAAAATTAACTGAAGAAGAACATGAATTATTAAAATTAGGACCAAAATTTATATTTGATGATCCAAAAATGGCATCTCGACGACGGATAATTGAGTTGACTACAATAAAAAGAAAAATAGAAGCTCGATTCTTTGAAAAGAAAGTTAGCCCTGGTCGTCCAGTTGAACAATTTATTGCTGAATTAGATGTTCTTCTCCAAAATTTGCATGATACTCCAATAACAAATAAAAATAAAAATAAAAATAATAATAATAAAAATAAAGATAAAAATATAAATAAAAATATAAATATAAATATAAATAAAAATAAAAATATTAATGAAAAAAATATTAGTGAAATAATTAATAGTCAAGCAAGTCAATCTCAAGTTAATTATTTATCGAAAAATAGAAAAAAGAAAAATTATAGTCGATTAATTAAAAGATTAAAACATAAATTTAGATTATCAAATATAATATTAAGAAAATCAGATAAATCGAAAGTATTCCATTTAGGTAAATTAGAAGATTATCGTAAAAAATCAGATGAATATATGGACAAAACCCAAGCGTATAAATGTCTTGGAAAAGAAGATAGATTACCTGATTTAATTAAACGAACAAATAAATATTTATTAGATTTAAGATTAGCGAAATGGATTACTCAAAAACAATATGAAAAATTATCTATTAAACCAAATGAAGTTGAACTTGCTCATTTATATTATTTACCAAAAGCTCATAAAGCTGGTACTCCTCTTCGTCCAATAATTAGTGGCCTCAAACATCCTACAATTAAAATATCGAAATTTCTTGATGATTTATTAAGACCTTTATTTGATAAAATGGCTATAGAGTCAACAGTGATTTCTGGTTATGAACTAGTTAAACAATTACAAGTATGGTCAGAATCAAATATAAATCAGGAAACTTTATTTTGTACAATTGATGTAGTTGATTTATATACAATGATTCCACAAATAGAAGGAGTATTATCATTAAAGAAGATGTTAGACTACTTAAATTTAAAACAAATTGGTGGTCTTAAAATTGAAACAATAGTTAGATTAAGTCGATTTGTTATGCAAAATAATTATTTTTCCTATGATGGTCAATATTATCATCAAATAAGAGGAGGAGCAATGGGTTCTCCTCTTACTTTAACTATTTCTAATTGTTATATGTTTTTCTTTGAAAGACAAATAAATAAACAAATAAAAAATAGTAATGGTTTATATTTCCGTTATATTGATGATATATTTCTTGCAATTAACTGGCCAGCTAGACATTTATTGAAACAAATCGACAGATGGAATAAATTTAATGAAAATATTAAATTAATAGCAAATATAGGTTCTATAACTAATTTTCTTGATTTATATATAGAAAATCAAGATGGAACTCTATTTACTAAAGTATATCAAAAGCCATCTTATGAACCGTATTATTTGCCATTTAATAGTATCCATCCGTTACATATGAAACAAAATATACCATTTGCTATGCTATTACGTGCAATTAGATATTGTTCAACATTTCAATCATATATAAATGAACGAGAAAAATTAAGAATAATTTTATTATTAAATAAATATCCAAACAAAATTATTGAAAAACAATTTAAAAATGTCTTTTTAAAATATAATATTGATCAACCATTAAATTTTCATAATTATAATGCATATCGTCAAAAAATTATTGATTCTTCTAAAAAAGAAAAGATTCCAATTAATTATGAAAAAATTATATTTATTCATTTTACATACTGTTTAAATATGAAAACATTTCCAGCCAAGTTTCATAATCTTTGGGATAAATACTTTGGTGAATCTCCCATTAATGAAGTTTTTCCAATTCTTGGCACACGAAACGTTGATAATATTCAAAGACGTCTAATAAATACAAAATCAATTTTTCAATAATTATTTCAATTATTTTACCTAATTTAATGTTTATGTTCCATTTAATTATTTAAAATAATTGTATACAACTATAATAAAATATTAATTCAATAAATAAGTTGTATTATGTACCAAATACCGGCAAAGAACCACAACTTTCTAAAAAATAATAATAAAGAATAAAAATATTAAATAATGGTCAAAAGATTCAATTTTACGTATGGATAAAAAATTTCAACCAACTCCAATATATTTATCCAAAATGTCGCTATCATCTCATAATATTAAAATTAGAGAAGCAGATAGCAAAATTAAAAAATTAAAAAACGTTATTCTATCTAAATTAAATTAAAAAATGTTATTCTATCAAAATAATATTTTCAAACAGTTGATTATCATTCTATAATATTAAAATCAGACCTATGAAAAACGAAAAACGAAAAATTAACCGATCCCAATGAAATATATTTATTTTGTTAATTGTTTGAAACATCCAACTTAAATGTCAAATTAAATGGAAGATTAAGTCCCAATCGTATATTAATTCATGGCACTTATTTTTATTGTTTTCTTTAAAAACAATAGTTCAATCCCATTTAACATAATAATTCAATACATCTAAAATGATAAATCAAAAACAAAAACAAATTATTATTAACAACAATCTCTTAAATTCAATATATTTAGATTTTCATTATAAAATCATTAAATCATAAGGAATTATTGATAAAAATTCTTCTTCAGAAAGGACGGGGAACGTTTTCCTTTGTTTTTGGCCCCCATAGAAAACATCATCAGTTCTTCATGAAACTTTCAGTAATTATAGGACTTATAGTTAGTAGTCACTCCTATAAATATCAGCTTCATCAGTTAAGCTTTTGCCTTACTTTGGGTGTTTGTCAGATGAGCCCCCAAATGACCTATATTAGTGACCTTGTGTACCTTCGATNATATTTTGTATTTTTCACTGTTATGCAGAGCCCTGATGAGTGTTTTATTAATCAAATAAATAACACGAAACGCGTCGGCGAAATTAACTCTGCATTTTTTCATTATTTTAATTTAAGCACATTTATTTATTTACTTATTTATAATTCTATTGTTTGACTTGATCGATTGCTGAAAAGCAAGAGTTGAGAACAGCAGATTGATTTGTATGATAGGCATATAGATCGATCTGTTTTTCATTGATTTACGTACACCCAATTATATCAGGCATCAAATTATTTGAATAGTATTATTCTAATTTGATCCATTTATATCTCAACTTATTCAACGATTAATGTCATCAATCACTTATAACAATAACCAACTACCCATACAACAACCAACTGCACCACCGTCAAGATATATGAATCAACGTCGTCGTTGTGGTGTTTTTGGGGGCAATCAATCTAATTTTTGGGGCAATCAATCTAATGTTGGGGGCAATCAATCTAATTTTTGGGGCAATCAATCTAATGTTGGGGGCAATCAATCTAATTTTGGGAGCAATCAATCTAATGTTGGAGGCAATCAATCGAATTTTAGGGACAATCAACCGAATTTTAGGGACAATCAACCGAATTTTGGGGACCATCAACAGAATTTTGGATACAACCAATATTATTATAGGGGCAATAGACCCAACTTTCGCAATAATCAATTTAATTATCGAAATTATCAAAATTATCAAAATACAAATGGAAGTTTCTATCCTCGAAATTTTTATCGTCCAAATGTCTTCTATAATCAAAATTATCAACAACAACGTTATTTTAATAGGTATAACAATAATGGTTATAGTCGTATAAATCGACCACTAGGAAGATTTCAAGAAAGACAAATTAGTCAAAATCGGCCAGGAAGTCGTTCAAATCAACAAAGGAGTCGTTCGAATCAACAACGACAACAAGGAAGTCTAATAAGACAACAACGTCAACATCTTCCGCGGCAGTTAAAACTCAATGATTTTATGCCAATAGAGTTACGTGAACGTTCAACTAGTCCTGGAACTCTTCCAACTGAATTTAATTTAAATGCACCACCAGATGCATTACCACAACGTCAAATTTTTAATACAACAGCTACAACAACAAATAACACTACACAGCCATTTGTAGTAAATCAAAATGATCAAAATTGGCAACAGCAACAGCAAAATCGACAAACAACAATTGCACCATTTAGACGGCGTCAACGTCGAAATCAACAAAGGCAATATCGTCAAACTAGAGGTGTAGATAATAATCGATTTAGTGCTCTAGCTGATGTACAAGATATTGGGCCAGATGAAATTGATTTAACAAATGAAGAACCAATACAAAATAATAATATTAATAATAATAATAAAAAATCAAAAAAGTCACGCCTTTATCTTGAACCAAATCGATTATTAAAATGGTTTGAAGATAAATTTTCAAAAAATCCACAAAAAAATCCATTAAGTGGTCGTGGTAATCAAGCTTATTTATTAGCTACTGCACCTATATATGATGAATGGGTCAGAAATAATTACGAATTACAAGTCTGGCAGGCATATTTTAAAATGGGCACAGAACAAAAACATTGGGCTAAAGAAGTCGTACAACGTACAAAAAAACGTGATAATATAATAAATACTCGTTTTGTACAAAAGAAAATTAACCGACTAACACAAAATATTACCGAAGCTAGTGCCATTATTTCCGATTTACAAATCCAATTAACAACATATTGGACACAAGTAAATGCGGAAAAATTAGTTTCAACAATAGCTGATGTTACAGCAAACATTGTTGTTGAAAAAATTAATAAGACAACTACAACAACAACAAGTCCAACAACAGCCCCATCAACAGTAAATCCACCTATAAAAAATCAAATTCGTGAACCTATAGATCGGTTAGAAAATTATATTTTAGAATATATTCATACACATAGTCAACATATAAAGAAATTCGCTGAAACAAAGGTTCAATTGGCCAAAGTACAATTTGATGAATTTAAAGCTCTAGAAGAGTTTGAACAAATAGCTACTCCAGCACAATGGAATATGCATTTAGTTTTAAAACCAAAAATAAAACTTTGGTCAACTAAAAACAAAAATTATCTTACTGCAGTCAAACGTGTTGAATACGATTTGCCTCCAAAATTTATTGAAAAATTAGATTTCTCATTTAAAATTGATGAATCAATTATAAATCAAGATGAAGCTCAAACGATATATAATCAAATGCGCCAAATTATTAAAGATTGTCGAACACAAGCAATGACATTGTATGTACAAGCATCAGCTCGAGAAAATGAATTATTATCAAATGAAATTAAACGTATTATTGAAGGCTTTCCACAAGATAATGATGATGGTTTTGATGCTGAACCTGGTTATGCAGCATTTAAACATTATTATAATTTACGTGAAAAACGATTAAATTTTGAAGCTGAACAATCGATTCATTTTTTATCCGAACAGCAAGTCGAGGGCAATCCAAACGATCTAGAGCAAGAAATAAGTGCCCCGACTTTAGTTCGATCACTGGGCAAGGAATTCTTGCTCCAGCCATAATCAATGAAGCAAATATTCGATTAACCGAGGATGAATATCAACTACTAAAATTAGGTCCTCGGTTTATATACAATGATCCAAAAACGGCATCTCGACGGCGTACAATCGAATTAAATACTCTTAAGCGAAAAATAGAAACTCGATTCTTTGAAAAGAAGGTAAAGCCCGGTCGTCCAGTCGAACAATTTATTGCCGAAATAGATACAGTGCTTCAAAGATTACATAATATACCAAAAATAAATCAGCATAAAAAAGATAAAGAAATAAATACCGTATCATATGATAATTTAGAATCTGCTATACAATCAAGTCAATCTCAAAATATTCAGATTAATAATATAACGAAGAAGAAAAATTATAACCGATTAATTAAAAGATTAAAATATAAATTAAAATTAACTAATACAATCCTACGAAAATCGGACAAATCAAAAGTATTCCATTTGGGTAAATCTGAAGATTATCGCAAAAAGTCTGACAAATACATGGCAAAAACCCAAGCATATAAATGCTTAGGAATAAATGATCCATTGCCAGATTTAATTAAAAGAACCAATAAATATCTATTGGAATTGCGATTAGCTAAATGGATTACTCAAAAACAATATGAAAAATTATGTATTAATCCAAATGAGCTTGAACTTGCACATTTATATTATTTACCAAAAGCTCATAAGCCAGGTACTCCTCTTCGTCCAATTATTTCTGGTCTTAAACATCCTACAGTTAAAATTTCAAAATTTCTTGATAAATTACTAAGACCGCTATTCGATAAAATGGCTTCAAAAACATCTGTAACTTCTGGTTTTGAATTACTAAAGCAATTACTGGAATGGTCAAAAATAAATTTACACCAGGAAACAATATTCTGTACAATGGATGTTACAGACCTTTATACAATGGTACCACAGACGGAAGGTGTATTGTCATTAAAGAAAATGATGGATTATTTTAAATTAAAACAAATTGGTGGTTTAAGTATTGAGACAATTATTCGATTGAGTCGATTTGTTATGCAAAATAATTATTTTTCTTATAATGGCCAATATTATCATCAAATACGTGGAGGAGCAAAGGGGTCTCCTCTTACTTTAACTATTGCAAACTGTTATATGTTCTTTTATGAACAACAAATTATAAAGCAAATTAACAATAGTGGTGGCTTATATTTCCGATATATTGATGACATATTTATAGCAATTAATTGGCCTACTCGCCATTTATTTAAACAGATCGACAGATGGAATCATTTTGATGAAAATATTAAATTATTAGAAAATATAGGTTCTATGGCAGATTTCTTAGATTTACATATAGAAAATCAAGATGGTCAATTATTTACTACTATTTACCAAAAACCATCATATAAGCCATATTACTTACCATTTAATAGTATTCACCCTTTACATATGAAAAAGAATATAGTATTTACCATGTTACTTCGGGCTATCCGATATTGTTCAACTTTTCAATCCTACTTAGATGAACGCGAAAAGTTACGGATAGCATTACTATTAAACAAATATCCAAATAAATTTATAGATGAGCAATTTAAAAATGTTTATTTAAAAAAATGTAATATTGATCAGCCTTTAAATCATAATAATTATAATATGTATCGTCAAAAAGTTATTAACACTGTTATAAAACAAAAAGTACCCATAGATTACAGAAGATCAATATTTATTCATTTTACTTATTGTTCAAGTATGAAAACCTTTCCAATAAAATTTCATACTCTCTGGAATAAATATTTTGGAGAATCTCCAATTAATGAAATTACATCTATTCTTGGTACAAGAAATGTCAACAATCTTCAAAGAAGATTGATGTATACTAGAACAAATGTATCTTAAATTTAGTACCCAATAAATCAAGTTAAAAGCAAATTAAATATAATGGAATAACAAAATTAATTAAATTAATTCGATATAACTTTTATAAATCGAATATTTATAGTTAATTTAAAATAAATGTTATCTTCACAAATGATTAATTATGTCGAAGATGACAGTTAATTATATTCAAAAAGATAATTGATTATATCCAGAAAGAAGTTTTTAAGTTAAATTTAACTTAATTTGGCTATATGGATCTACTGCACACAAATCAGTAAAATTATTATTTAATGACTTATATTCGTTTTGATATATCCATTATTTTTCCAAACGAAAAATCCATTCTTAGATAACCTTATTTTATTATCAGGATTTGTTATTTTCCAAACAAAAAGATCAACTCTTAGATAATCTTACAATTGGTAAATATATTACATAAGAGATTATCTTTTAGAAGATACTTAATCGTTTATCCAGAATAATTTATTTATGATAAATTTGTCAATCTCATCTTAAAAGATATTTAATCATCTATCCAGAATAATTCATTTATCATAAATTTGTATAGCTATTCGATTGGTATTATTTCAATAAATTTATAATTTTACAATTATTAAATATAATAGTTTTTTAACAATTCATCAAATAGAATATAATAATTACTATAATTACAATTAATTATGTTACAAAATAATATTATTAGATTTAAAAAACTTATTGAACAATTTCATCAGAAAAATTTATATCTATATAATAGAAATTATAGATAATTGGATATTGACAAAATTTATTTCTAATATTATAAATATTGCGAACGAATTCAACAAAAATCAAAATATTGACTCAATACATTATTGATTATTAAATTCAGTACTAAAAAGAACAATATAATCTCATATATGAAATTTATGATGTTCAAATTTGATTTTAAATAATTGGTTTTATTTTATGAATACCTTGTCCAAAATGTTTTTCGACGAGAATTCCTAATTTAATTAATTTTTATACTCTTCCAATTTAATTCATATATTTCATTTAATATCAATGAACAAATTATTATGTAATATCCAACAAGATTATTTTATACAATTAGTCTAACTTTTGAAATAATACATATCCAACTTCTGAAAAATTAGGAATGGCATTACTATTAAATAAATATCCAAATAAATTTATTAATGAACAATTTAATAATCTATTTTAAAATTTAATATTGATCAATCATTAAATTTTAATAATTAAAGATATCGGCAACAAATTATCGATTCTCCTGTAAAAGACAAAGTGCCAGTGGAGTATGGTCTAGTACACGTGGCCTATATTTATGATTATATAAATTTTTGGTCATTGAATTCAGACATAAAAGGTCAAATGTATATTTAATTAGTCTCAAGTTCCGTTAATTAATATCACACATATGAAATTATTAAAATAAATTCTATGACCATCGACTAAATGTCGAGGTATTCAATATATATGGTATTGTTAAGATTAGTGACGCATTATTCCCATCATATAGGAGACAACNAACATGGAGCGAAAGGAAGAAAACTCTGTTAGTATTTAACGATTTTTATTATCAAAATGCTGTCAAAAGGTAAAATAGATAACGTATTCGGAATCAGCATCAAAAACTGCATCGAATCATATAGGCTCAATGAATCTTTTTTTCCTGCGCAAAAAATCACCCTGGGGGACTAGGGGAGAAATTTTCAAAAAATACACCTGAAGGGGACCACAGGTCGATTTTCCATCGGAAATAGGTTTTACTTAAACATATATAATTCGATGCAGTTTTTGATGCTGATTCCGAATACGTTATCTATTTTACCTTTTGACAGCATTTTGATAATAAAAATCGTTAAATACTAACAGAGTTTTCTTCCTTTCGCTCCATGTTACAAGCAAGCGTGAGAAAAATTCAATTTTCTCAAAAATAAAACAGAATTTAAAAAAACAAAATAGATACTTTTGTAGCCCATGGTCTAGCGGTTCTAACAAGATAACACAGTTGCTTCTATCTATTGTTACAAAAAACTAGATAGGTTTACAAGAATGTTCCCTGTTACATACTTTTAGCCTGTTAGACCTATTTATATTCGATAGGATTTTTTTAGCCTTATTAGCTCTACATCTAATCAAATAACATTTTTGTACTTAGTTTTTCATGCTGATTCCGAATATAGTACTTTCAATAAGTTCACAAAATAACTGAAAATGAAATTTGACAATTTCTATAGAAAAAAAACAATTCATGGTAAAAATAGCATTTTCTTAATCATTATAGTTTTTTACGATTTTCTCAGCCAAACAATGATTAAATCGAAATAAAAAGTATATATTCGTGATCAGCTTTTCAAGCTCTATCAAACCATATACATATGAGCGAAAACAAAAATTCACTCCAATTTTGCATTTCCGCTACCTTACAAATTTTCCGGTTTTTACTAAACAGAAGAAAAATTATGGGGAATTAATCAAAAGGCTTAGACATAAATCAAAATTAACTAGTACAATATTGCAAAAGTCAGACAGATCGAAAGTATTTCATTTAGGTAAATTAGAAGATTATCACAAAAAATCCGAAGAGTATAAGGCTAAAATCCAAGCTTATAAATGCTTAGGTACAAATGATCCATTACCGGATTTAATTAAATGTAAAAATAAATATTTATTAGATTTAAGATTAGCTAAATGGATTACTCAAAAACAATATGCAAAATTATCTATTAATCCAAATGAAGTTGAACTAGCCCATCTATATTACTTGCCAAAGACGCATAAAACCGGTACTCCTCTCCGTCCAATAGTCTCTGGTCTCAAGCATCCTACAGTTAAAATATCAAAATTCCTTGGTGAATTATTAAGACCATTATTTAATAAAATGGCTGCGAAAACAACTGTAACTTCTGGCTTTGAATTAGCCAAACATTTGCAACAATGGTCGAAAACTGATATGCGTCCAGAAACTTTGTTTTGTACAATTGATGTAACAGATCTTTATACTATGGCATCACAAATTGAAGGAGTACTCGCTTTAAAGAAAATGTTAGATTATTTAAAATAAAAATATGTTGGTGGTCTAAAAGTTGAAACAATTATTAGATTAAGTCGATTTGTAATGCAAAATAATTATTTCTCTTATAATGGTCAATATTATCATCACGTTCGCAGAGGAGCTATGGCTTCTCCTCTCACCTTAACTATTGCTAATTGTTATATGTTCTTTTATGAACAAAAAATTGTAAGGCAAATTCACAACAGTGGTGGACTCTATTTTCGATACATTGATGACATATTTATAACAATTAGTTGATCCGCCCGACATTTATTAAAGCAAATCGACAAATGGAATCAATTTGACGGAAATATAAAATTGTCAGAAAATATTGACCCAACAGCTAATTTTCTCGATTTACATTTAGAAAATCAAAATGGTCAATTGTTCACTACAGTTTATCAAAAACCATCTTATGAACCTTATTATTTGCCATTCAAATGTATTCATCCACTACATATGAAAAAGAATATAGTATTCAGTAAGTTATTACGAACAATTAGATATTGCTCAACCTTTCAAGCATATATTAAATAAATATTCGAATAAGTTCATAGATGAGCCATTTAATAACGTTTTCTTAAAAATTAATATTGATCAGCCATTAACCTGTAGTAATTATATTAAATATCGTCAAATTGTTATAGATTCTCCGATAAAAGAAAAAGTACCAGTTAATTATGAAAAAACAATGTTAAAACATGAAAACATTTCCAGCCAAATTTCATATTCTTTGGGATAAATATTTTGGTAATTCTCCAATTAATGAAATCATACCAATACTTGGTACACGCAATTTTAATAATCTTCAACGACGATTAGTACATACAAAATTAATAAATACATATATATTTAGTTACTAAATTATATCATAATATAAAAAATACAATTATTATTTTAGACCTATTAATATTTGAGAAATTATAATTCATAAAAATTTAATAAACATATTATATACAGTAATTACAAAAATAATACAAAATTTTCAATCAAATATCCAACTAAATATATCAAAATAAGATAAATTGTATTGTATTTAAGAAATTATCAAGTTGTTATTTACTAATTGCCGGCAAATCCATCGAAACAGATGTCATGATCCAGACTGTAAAGCTTTTCCATATAATATCAAGTTATTATTGTTCATAATAGTTATTTCAAAACAATGTCGAATTATTAGGTATTATTGTTTACAATCTGCTCATTTAATATTAAATTAATAACTGTATAAACTATTCAATATATTATTTACTAAACGGCAATACGCAAAGTCGCCATCTGATCATTCTTATCATAAGGGCAACAACCGAGTTTAATTAATATTCCATTGCCAAACTGAGTACAAATTATTAACTGAATTCCGCTTCTGATCTATTTGGGACTAATATGCATCATTACTTTTACTTCGTCAACATTTGTGCCCCCTGCGTCCTCCAATTTATCTTTTAGTTTGTTTTAAATTCAAACCTTTTTCTAGTCTACTTTTAATCGATTCGGCTTTCTATCTTTAACTATTCAGCTTTTTTATTTTTATTTTTATTTTTATTTAAAATTGTAATTCTAGCTTTAATGCTTATAATTGTGAAATGCAGAGCCCTGATGAGTGTTTCAATATTTTAATAAATAACACGCAACGCGTCGGCGAAATTAACTCTGCATTATTTCATTATTTTAATTGAAGCTCGTTTATTTAGTATAATTGTATTGTTTGACTTGATCGGTTGCTGAAAGGCAAGAGTTGAGAATAGCAGATTGATTTGTATTTTTGAGAAATATAAATCGATCTGTTTTTCATTGATTTACCACACCCACCCACACCCACACCCTGCTGATAGAATGTGACTCCTGAATATGACGAACGAACGAATACAGCTTTATGGATGACTGAAGACGAAAAAGAAATATTGTGACGATTTCTGTTGTAAGAGATACCACTTAGAAGCTACTCTAAGTATATTTTATTGGTATAACAAGAAAACGTCCAACCTACTGTACTGTTCTCGTCCCTTATATACTACTTCGTATATACGGAACGACCTCGAAAAATACGAAGAGATCCAAGCTTAGGTTATAATTATGGATTATGCTATGTACTAGAGAAGAATACACCAAGGATGTCGTTCCAAAGTACAAACGGAACCGAAAAGGATATTACGGTTATTCCTTTTGAGGATAACATTATGTGCGAGAGAAGAACATATCAAGTATTCATTCCAAAGTACATGTAGAGAACGGAAAATGATATTATAGTTATTCCTCTTATGGATAACAGTATGTACGAGAGAAGGACAAACTAATGGTGTAGCTCCAAAGTACATATAGAAGAAGAACGAGGTGAATAAATTTCAATCGAGGGTAAGTGATAGATTATATATGAGGTTGGAATATTACATGTATATGTATATATGGGGTTGAACAGTCTGGCCGGATGCCCCAACTATTTTTTATGCCATGTAGCTTCTATAATACATTAGAGAATTATGATTTCTTTACCAGTGATAGTACTCGTCTAATGCTGATGATCGGTCAACTCTAAGGGTCTATACCGTGTTTAAAACCAAAATAATTAAAGTCTTTCAAAAAATTCGTTCATAACTAGCAAGAGATTTTTTTCGAAGCTTGTATTGTTTTGGTTTTTAACAAGCTATAGACCCTTAGAGTTGACCGATCATCAGCATTATACGAGTACTATCGTTTGTAAAAAAATCATAATTCTCTAATGTATTATAGAAGCTACATGGTATAAAAAATAGTTGGGACATCCGGCCAGACTGTTCAACCCCATATATATAGCTGCGTGATACTAACAGTAAGTATATTCTCTTCTAATAAGATACGCATATATGTAATTATGCAATATTGACACTAAATTTATTCGTATTCTAATAGAGATATGTATATATACAGTATCTACAGGATGTCCCAAAAGTCCGACGTGAAAGTAAATTCGAATGACTCCATTATTTAGCAAGTTTAATCAGCTGATTTTTTTTAGATGATAGGGTGGGTGTGGTAAATCAATGAAAAAC